AAGAGTAATTTGCAATACAGAATACAAGGGGCATCTCAAGATACATGGGAGAGATTAGTGTTATTTAATTACAAGCTACGTTTTAAAACCCAGCATCTTTGTAATGATTCTGGTTTGTTCTTTAGAGCTCACAGTTTTGATTTTCTATCAACTTCAACTTAGTTTTCTCTAGTTTACAATCTTAAGCCTTGTATGTTCCTACTAAATTCATGGAGGGTTAAATAGTAATTTGCATCGGGTTGATTCATATAAAAGGTAAGAATCTTTCATGCCTCACTTGGCAAGTTGAGAGTTCAAGAATTTGTGAGCATGGTCATCACATCAGTTTGTGTGTTTTACTACATTTTTCTCATTGTGGAGAAGTTGTGGATTACAAGGTAAGGAGGAATTTGAGAATTTGTTTTGTTGTAGCTATTTGAAGAAGTTGGGGATGTTTAGCTAGGGTAGAAATAGTATGTGAATTTACATGGTTGTAGCATTCAATTGTATGTGGTTGTAGCATTCAAATGTATGTATGGGCTAACTTAAATACATATAAACAAAAAGTATAGATGGTTCAAGAATGCTTCACGAACCTGTTATGAGCTGCAGAAGATCTGTGTGTGTGTGTACATAAATAGTTTTTGGTGTCTTTCAGATAGATACGAAGAGAAAATCTGAAGGTTACAATTTTTTTCGGAGGGTGATGAAACGCCTTGAATATGCAAAATTTCACTTTAGTTGTTCCAATTTTGCAAAGAAAAGAGTGTAATAAACGTGGGGATGGTGATGAAGGTGGCGGGCAGGGGTGACACTGGTAAATATGGTAGCGTGGAGGTGATGAGTTGGTGGTGCATGGAATGGTATGGGAATGATCGTGGCCGGTGGTGATGATGGATCGTGGTTTTCGTGGACTAATAGTAGAGAGAAAAGGAAGATGAAATGTAGACAGAGAGACACCCGTTTATTTTGTTTTGGGAAAAAATTGATCCACAAACCTTATTGAACGACATGTTTTTTGTGTTGGGCAATGACTTGGAGGAGGTCGAATAGCACGATGAAGCTCGTAATGGCTCATAGGCCAAGGAGTCACAAGGGCAGTTGGATTTCTTGAGGCATTCAAGGTGCTTGACGAGGATGGAGATGAGTGCATATTGATTAGCAAGTTACAAGGGCATTTCTATCTTTTCCCATCACACTTGGGTGAGAATAGGCTTGTCAAACAGGCTCTTATGAGTTGGGCTGAGGGGTGCCCGAACTCAAATTACCATCCCCAACCCAAACCTAGCTCGCTTGGGCTTAAGACCTTTGTTCAAAATTCTTGTCCACATATTTCAAGAGGTGTTCAAGTTGGCCTAAATTAATATTTTTCTTGTTTGTTTTGCCATTCTTAGAAAATAATATATATTTAGAGCAATACTACATGAACTAAAAAAATAGACTGAAAAACTAGACCTGATAATTACAACTATTGATTTCACTGTGGGTCCCAACATTTATTGGGACTCACTACCTATTCAATGGTTGAGATTATCAAGTCTAATTTTTAAGTTCATCTAGCATTACTCATATATTTATATTTATCTAAACTTTCGGCCTATTATTAAAGGATATCAAGAACAACACAAGCAAGCTCAATCGACTTACAAGCAAGGATCAAAATTTTATTTCGGTGTATTGTTTCAGTCATCTATGAAACGGAAATATTTCGACGTATTTCAAAAACGTTTCAACCGATTTCAAAAACATAATGAAAAAAATTTTAAAAAAATTAAAAATTATTTTTTCAAAATATTTGTCGAAATATACCAAAATATTTTAAAACATTCCAAAACAATTGTGCAAATATATTGAAATATTACAATACATATCAAAACATTATGAAACACCTCAAAAGTATTAGGATTTCGATTATGTCCTAATTCGTTTCGGTCTCCTTGGAAATAAAAATGTTTCGGATGTTTCAACCGTTTCGAAACAAAATTTTGATCCTTACTTACAAGTTACAATCACAATTATAAGAGTACCCATTCATACATGTTACCCCACATACAAATCAGTCACCTCTTTCTGAGTTACGATAAATAAAACTAAAAGTTCAAAAATAAATACTTCATTAGAAAATAAATTGAAAGTTGAAATATTAAATCTCAATGATAAAAATATTTGACAACAAAATTTTTACTCGATAAACCAATTTACTAATGTAATCACACAACACTAAGTTTTTAACTTTATATAATAGTAATTAAAACTTTACATGGTCTTAATTAGATAGCTACTTTTAATAAGATGCGCAGACTTTATTCGAGCTGAGCTAAGCATTTCACAAACTCAGCCCTCCAACTCTAGTTAGAAAAAAAAACTCAAGGTCAGCTCAAAACAAACTCATACAGCATTTGGGCCACTGTTTGCAGTTCAAATGGACAGATGCTAAATATTGTTTTATATATCCAATTACCAATATATACATAGATACAATCATACAACGGAAGAAAAGCATTACTGTGATGAGTATATTTTTTATCTGGCATAAAGTTTTAGACGAATGGATTAAAACATTCAATAATCATCAAGTTCAAATGGACAGAACGTAACTTATAGTAAATAATTCTTCTCATCATCCCAAGCCTTCTACTTTAGTAAAAGTTTACATCTTTTTTTCATCAATTTTTTAGTAAATCTTAAATATGATTTGTCTTAACAATTATACCTTTATTCATTTTATAAGGATCGTCATGCATTAAATTTTTCAGCTTTGTTCATCACATGTTCCAAAGTACCTAAGAAGTGTCATACTCGTTGCAAAAAGAGTGTTGGACACATGTATACTAGTTTTTTAAGAAAAATATTGATATGGACACAAAAATATCAAACAGATGTCGAGAGTATCTGAAAAGTACCCATGGCGGACATGTGACTAATATGGACAGTTCACCTTCTAACAAGTGTTGGTGCTTTTTAAGTGTCAATACTTTGAAAAATAGGGGTTTATGTGCAACAAATGCCAAACATAAAGGACTAAAATGGAATTTACCCCTTTTTAGTGTGTGTTTGTGATTAGGGGCGGAGCTAGGATTTAGGTGCGGTGGGGACAAACTATAACTTGTTGTTTAAAATCATAATGTAAAGCTATTCATTTTATCACAAACAAGTTGATTTGTGGATACTAAAACCAATCAAATGAAATAATTATTTCAAATAAAATTTAGAACATCTAAATTTTAAATATACTCAATGAATTACAAGAAAAATATTTGGTTAGAACAATGTGAAAGAAAAATTTAATCCATCACAAAACATGCAAACCTGAATTTCAAGAGGTCAATCAAAAATAATTTAATCCATTGCTTATCAATTTTAGAATTCAAATATAGAAATGCAATTCCATATCAAATTCTTGATAACCATAGCAAATTGAGAAAATTCAGGACTTTCGTACAATGTGTGTATGTATTCTTCCCTCCATGAATTTTTGATTTGTTGATCAAATTCTAATTGGTGATGCTTGCTTGAAATTCAAACATATGAAAGGAATTTATGAAAGAATCCCTTCTATTTTTAAAAATATGAAGGGTAATGTTATTTGGTAACAGATGACGTGACCGATAAAATGGTCCAATATTATTATTCTAAGTGTAATTATATGGTATCAAAGGAGATACCATGGCGAAAGATGCAAAAATTTAAAGTCAAGTTACAATTTTTCAGAATCAAATTGTAACTCAACAACGTTATGATCGATCACTAAAAATACATCTTTCAAAGCTAAAGTTATAACTTCTAAAGGCTATTCATGATCGATCATAACGATAATTATTAATATCGTACAATAAGTGATACGTATCGTACGATACATCACGATACACCTGAAAAACAATACGTATCGTGTCTCTATATCATTTTTGCACCGTATCGTACGATACACGATACAATACGTCCGATATGTACGATACATGACAATTCTGTTTTTTTATTTATTTTTTTTATTTTTTGGGGTTGAAATAACATCGTTTTACCGTAAAACTTATTTTTAAATCACTAGCTAGTGAGGCGTCGTTTCAGTGGTTATAGTTTAAAAACACTAAATAAAGTCTAATGTTAATATTGTATAATTGAATTTAAAATTCCTGATTAATTTTAAAATTGTTCAAGCAATTGATGTTAAAAGTTTGAATCAGAGGCCTTTGCATTTTGATATTACTGAACTATGTTAGAAACTTCATAGTTTGTGGAATATTAATGAAATATTATATTATTATGAGTCTATGACTTTTTATAAAGGTATATACATATATTTTATTAATAATTATTTAAAAATTAAAATTGAGCGTATTTTACGATACACGATATACAATACGATACGATACACTATTTTTAAAAAACGATACGCCTTCCGATACACAATTTGACAACTATGATCATAACATCTTGTGATCCATCACAATACCCGTAATCAATCACAACATTTGTGTTTGATCACAAATAACTTCAAAGAGTTATAACTTGTTTATTAAAAGTTGTAACTTCACCTTTAAGGTTTTAATTTCAGAACAGTACCAAAAAGTCTCTCTCTTTGGTACTGTAGACTTAATTGTTATTTTAATTGCAATTCTTGGACTTCTTCATTAGAAGGACATCACTTAGTACATTTTTTGACAAATTTTCTAGATCGCAAAAGAATTTTTCAAGTATAAAAGTACTCATAGATTTTTACCAATATTTTAGTGGGCCACATTTTAAAATTTGAAAATATAACCTTATAGAACATTTTTTCATTTTTTGTCCTCCAATCATTGTCACTTTTCAGGATTGCCTGGGGGCACTATTTGTCTGCACTGCCCCAGTGTAAATCCGCCCTTGTGTGTGTGTGTGTGTGTGTGTTTTTTTTTTTTTTTTTTTTTTTTTTTTTGGGGTGGGGGAGGAGATGAAGTAGGTATGCATGAGATTACATACTTTATATAGTAAGATATTGAAGTAACATGGAAGTTTTTTTTTTTTTTATCAGTGGCAACATTAAGTTAAAAGAACAATATTCGCAACAAGTCAAAACCAAGGGCAATTGGATCCCAAAAGAAGAGGAAGAGGGCAGGCTTGGAGAGGAGAAAAGCATCACTGGAATTTATGTTGGCCTCTAGAAGTAGTTGATATTCTGTAACAGCTACATATTTTAAAAGCACCAGAGTCCAGGTAAGTGTGTCAGTACAAACAGTGTAAGATAATTTGGATGTGCAACATGGCTCGTCAAGTTGTCGTGCCTTAAAATGGAATAATTGCCGACACTATCACAAAATACAACAGGTAAAAAATTAGGGAGAATGAATTTAGCAAAACAAACCTGTGTCCACAATGGTAGGAGTTAAACCAGCTGTAAGAGTCTTCGATTCCATAAAGGTAATCTTCCCAGGAATATTGATATCAAAAAGGTGGATCTGTAATTTACACACGCTAAATATTAGAACTATTGTTTAACCAACATCACAGCCTGTTTAAGCTACTGATGAGAAATATTAAGTTTTGTAAGTTTAAGCTTCCATACATTCATGCCAGTTTTAAGCTATAAATTTGAATCCAAGACCCTGAGCATGTTTCTTAAGCAGAATACATCAACATGAAACAGTTACATGGGTGAGTGGACAAATGTATTTTGATTTATTAAGGGAAAGGCTGATCTGGCAGGTTGGTATGTTTCACATACTAGCCCACTGCATAGGGAAGGAGGATATTCTGACATAAAACTGGAAGGTAGTGGGACGGCTAAATAAAAAATAAAAAAGCAAAAAGAAGGAACAACAGAATACGGAGCACACATATTGTTCATGTCCTCTAGCTTAAAGATAAGCCCATTCAGAAGACAGTCTGTACCTAGAATCCTGATGATCTCGAATCATTTGAAGGAAAGAATGTTCATTGCTTTAAAGAAGATGATCAAGTAATACTGATTGGAATCATTTAAGCCCTCTCACTACCTACCAAATTGGTCCCTAAGGTTGAATGTTTGGACCCATTAATCTTAGAGCAGTTATATGAAGCTTTTCCTTTGGATAACGGAAATCTGAGCAACAAGTTAACATACTACATGTAAAGTAAGCTTAGAATATTACCTTCCTGTGTTTAGCTTTCAGCTTTCCATCAGCATCAAAGACGCAGCAGGTATTGAACAACTTATCCCCAGATCGTTCAGGAATAGAGCCACCTACTATTGTGATCTTCAGAGTTCGAGCAACTTCAGAGAGCATAGCAGTCGAAGGAGATGCATCAACACCAGCATCAATGTTCTCAGCATAAACCGGGAAGCTATCATTTGAATATGGACTGTTCCAAATTTCCTGACGTGAAATTGCACACAGTCTCAATTAATCGCGATCATTTTTAATTAGCAGCGGATTTTAGAACATGTTTAATTTGAGCCTCTATCACATAAGATTGTTAAGCATTACGCCACCAACAAGTGAACCTAGAATTTGACTCTAATTAAAAGTTTCCAGTATGATAATTATTACTTATTAGAGTTGACTGTATATAATGTTCGTTGATTAACTGAAAATTCAGAGATGTCTCACATTAATAGCTTTGTCTGGCAAAAACTTTCAGAAATAAAATTGAGTGTTTCTTTTTCCAAACTGGATTTGGTGTTTACCATTTACTGAACAAATGAATTAACGAAGCTTCGTAGCAGTTCGAAAGCCCCAATATAAACAGGTCTTCCCTGTTGCAGTATGTGTAACACACAAACAGACCCCAAAAACACCCCACCCCACCCCACGCCCCAACACACACACAAATAAATAATATATGATATCACCACGATTGCCGTTAGAAAATTGAAGTGACCATTACAGGCAAGAGAACAAGCTGGGCACCCTTTTGAGCAGCTTCCTCGATGGCTTTTCGAGCATGAGCTATGTTCCTCTCCTTGTCCGCAGTCACCGACAATTGGCACAGTCCAATCTTAAACTGGTAAAAAAAAACCCCAAAAAATCAATAATTACACAACAAATTTACAGATCACATAGGGAGAGAGAGAGAGAGAAAGATGATGATAATGATGCCTTAGTGACTGGTGGAGTGGGCAATTGGAGTGCGGGTGGAACCCTAGCTTGCTCAGGCTTGAAAGAAGAAGACATTGATGATGCGGAGGCAGTGAGTATTGCACGGGTTGATTTGTAGAGCTTTGGAAGATAATATTTGTTGGCGTGACTGCTTGTACGTAGGGGGATGAGAAGAGATAAACGATCGAAGAGCAGTGATGGTTTACGGCGCAAGATGGAGAGCGAAACAGAGGATTGCAGTTGCAGGGCAGTGAGATTCGTTGAAGAAGAAGAGATTGTGCAAGATAGGAATGCGAGTCCTGCTTTCATTTTCCAAGCATTTCTAGTTCATTTCATGTCCATTTCGTGCCAAAACCCGTGATGGGAGTGACGGCACTTGAAATGAACGTCGTCGTTTGGTTTTTCCCACGGCCGGTCCCAATACTGTGAGTGAATCAGCAAAATACCTGTGTAAAGGTTGACAAAAAAAAAAAGGGTTAATCTCATTTTGGACCTTGAAAGATTGTTCGAATTTTAATTTGTACCTTCAAAGATTAAAAATCTTAATTTATACCCTCAAAGATAAAAATTTGTATCAATGTGCACCCCCAAAGATTAAAAATCTCAATTTACACCCTCAAAGATAGAAATTTATATCAATATGCACCCCAAAGATAAAAAATCTCAATTTACACCCTCAAAAATAGAAATTTGTATCAATGTACACCTAAAATTAAATTGATAAATTATACCTAGATCTCATCATACTTGTCATTTAATCATTTAGACTTCTTCACATTTAGAATATTACTCCTACATCTTATGATATTTGTGCACGTATAACATGTAACCCATTTTCATTGATATCTATTAATATAACCGTTAAAAAATATAATTTTATCCTAATAAAAAATTATAATTTCACATTACCCTTTATTTTATGGGTTCAATATATTCTAAAGTTCAAAATCTAGTTTACTATTTAAATGTCTAATAAAATATAAATATTTATATAATGTTTTTCATATTACCTTTTATATAAATATCTACATTTTATTAGACATTCAAATGGTAAGTTTGATTTTCAACTTTAGAGTATATCGAATCCACAAAATAAAAGGTAATATGAAATTATAATTTTTTATTAGGATAAAATTATATTTTTTAACGATTATATTAACAGATATCAACGAAAAATGGTTATATGTTACACATGCACAAACGTCATAAGGGAAATATTCTAAATGTAAAGGAGTTCAAATGATTAAGTGACAAACATGAGGGGATCTATGTATAATTTATTAATTTAATTTTAGGTGCACATTGATACGAATTTTTATCTTTGAGGATGCAAATTGAGATTTTTTATCTTTGGGGATGCACATTGATACAAATTTCTATCTTTGAAGGTGTAAATTGAGATTTTTGATCTTTGGGGGTGCAAATTGAGATTTGAACAATCTTTTAGGGTACAAAATGAGATTAATCCAAAAAAAAAGATTCGACTCTGATTATGAGTAATTCAAATACCTAAAAGAAAAAAAAAAAAAAAAAAAGCCGGACTATTTCCACCTCTACAAATCTCCATTGTTATCTCATTTAATTTGTCATTATTAAAATACTAAGTTTATCTTTTCTATATTCATTTCATTAATAACTAAGTTCACACCTTGCTCTATACACCCCAATTAATAAGTAAATTCACTTTATATTTTATCATAATTAGTATTTCATTTTATATTTTATCTTATGTACTCACAAAAATATTTTTTCAATATCAATTTTTCCAGTAAAATACACGTTAGTATTACTTATTAATTTAATTTTATGTTTAATTTCACGTTTGTCATATGAATTTTTATTATTTTCGATATGTTTTATATTTCTGTCAATTTTAATAATTTTTTATTTAAAATTTATATATGTATATATATATATATATATATATATGTATATTTTCAGATTCTTTATTCTTTTGTATCTTGTTAAGGTGTTGCATTTATACTTCTTCTTTTTTCTTGTTTCAATTTGCTTCTTTTTTTTTTGTTCTTTTTTTTTCTTGTTTCAGTATGCTTTTTTTTTTTTTACTTGTTTTGTAAAACTCGGGTAAATTTAAATTTTTGCAAAAAATGGAAAAATGGTTATTTATTACTACGGTACGGGTTGAAAATCCGAATTTTTCTAGAGCTTTAATGAGGAAATGGACCTCACCGTTGAATTCGTCTCACAAAATCTAGTTACTCAGACAATTTTCGTCAAAAATCAAAATTTTCACATTTTACGAGGCGATCGAGTGTCGCGTGAACCTAAAAACGAAATATATAATTAAATTTCAAAAGTTGAAAAATAATTTAGAGGAAGTTCATATAAAAATATAATACGAGTTGTAGAAATTTAATTGTTTCGGGACAAAATCGAAACCAAAAAAGGATATTGTGTGAAAAAATGAGGACCAAACATTTAAAGGGAATAAATAGGAGAAAAAACTCGTATTTCTCCCCATAACCATCAGATTATCTGAAAAATAGAAAGAAGAGAGGGAAGCTCAACCTTCTCTCTATGATCTACGCCGCTATGTTGCTCGAATTGACTCAAGCCAAGAATAAAAGTTGTTTTTCTCTTCGAGGAATACGCAACTATACCAAAAAGGACGGATTTCACCAAAGATTCAAAAATGGGATTTTGGAAAAATCAAAGATTAAGGCTTTGTTAGTGTTCTTAAAGGCTTTTTACCTTTGTTTTACACTTCAAGATGTAGGTTTTCTCCTTAATTAGGTTTATTTCCAACCTGTGGTGATTATATAGAATGGGTAGGGTGTCAAAGATATATAACACTTACCTATTGTTGTTAATTTGATAAAATGGGTATTGAAAATAGGTAAAATCAATTCTAGCATGAATTAATATTTAGAAATTGTTAACTTGTAATTTCTTAAAAAATTGTGATATGTGGGCATGCTATGTGTTTATATTATGCTTTGGAGAATTAAGTGTGTTAATTGCATTAGATTATGTGATAAAATGCTTGAAAACTTTTGTTGGGTATAATGTTGATATATGTTTGGTGATGTATTGACATGAAGATAATTTACGGTAACTATATGCATATAATATAATTTACCATGAAATATTTTAAAATGTGGTTGAAATGATTCATATGACACTCATAACATATTGAACATGAAAATTAGTATCACAATTGTATATTTACATTACATAAACACAGAAAAATATTGCATTCGGGGGCATTTGACATGAGTGTGGGTGTGTATGCATGTTATTGGATCAAATATCATTCTTGGTGGTCGATAATTGGGCTTAGTATAGTCGGACCAAGGTTCGACAGAATCATACAGGTTGTATGAAAAACTTGTGTTGGGTATAGCAAGAAGGGCTATATACTCCTTCGGGTACAAGACCCGATTTCTGATTTATACACTTCTGCTAGTGAAAGTCCAAAAAAGTGTATCGGTGTACGGAACCGGCAATGAGACATTAAAATCCCACTAACCAATAAAGACACATGGTTTATTTTTAAAAAAGACCCTTGGATGTACAACATCAATGGCAAGGGCTTGAAATGTCTGATTTTATACTCATGACATTGCAAGGGTGATGGGAGCCGATAAAAGCTCGAGTTGAGTTGTACGTGTGTGAGTCTCATTTCATAACATGACATGGTATAAAGGATCCATCATTGAATTGCATACTCTTGAATGGATGATTGTTGCCTGTTATGCATCTAGGTTGAGAAATAACCTTTTTAGGAGATACTTTATTGAGCACGGCTCACCCTTTATGAGGACAAGATTTCAGATGCGGGATATGCGCCAGTAGACGGCTCTCACTTAAGCCCTCATTGATGAAAAAAAGTCGACTTGTGGCATTTAAACCATATTTTGTGAAACTTTTATGTAATTTAGTTTTGGGCATGTAATCATATGCAATGGATTGTAATCGAACTCATATGGACTATGTTGAATGTAAAACTTCATGATACATGTATTCAAATTGATATAGGATGAGTTGGAATATATTGAAAATCGAAAATGGATGAAATGGGCAAAACTAGGCACCCCTAACGATAGAACTTTTGGTTCTTCTATCAATAGATGTGGTCCAGTAGGCAGTTTCTACCAGAAGGTTTAACCGGTAGAACTTTTTTAGTAGGGTTCTCCTACCGAACGTCACTGTTTCTACTGGTAGAAGAATTTTAGTAGACTATTTCTACCAGTAGAACAGGGACTTCTTCTACTTGTAGGTTTTCACAGATTCTCTAAAAAATTAAAGTCTAGTACACAACTTCTACCGTAGAACTTTGAACACTTCTACCGATAAGTTTTCTTTAAACTTCAAAACTTTTAAATGTTTTACTAAATCTTTGGCCATCGATTCCTTGTACTCAAAGAGGTTATATGAGATGTTAATGACACTAAATTGATGTATAAAAGACCACGAATTAGTAAATGATAAGGTGTATGAAGATTACACATGTGAGTAGTGTTATCAAAACCAGACCGGATCGGTCGGTCAAATCGGTTCAATAGTGAACCGAGACCTTAACTGGTCCAGTTCCCTAGTTGGACCGCTTAAGGAAAAGAACTGGCTATAAAATGGAAAATCGGCTGATTTTTATAAAAAATCGTGAACTGTCGATTTTATAAAAATTAGACGTTTTAACGCCCAATTAAAAATTAAGTTAGAATTTTTTGTATTTGGGGATTTTTTTTACCCTAAATCGCAAAATAGAGGGGCACCACTTCAGGGTTCAACGACATCAGGCAAAATCACAAAACAGAGGGCACCACTTTAGCGACATCAAGCGACTTCGACTGCGATCAGCCACCTCGATCAGCCACCTCAATCAGCCACTGCTATCAGCCACCTCAATCAGCTACCAGCGACCACCGAACTCAGGCTACCAGTACCAGTGACTTTTTAGTAAAAGCTCTCTTTCAGATTTGTTCTGGGTCTTCCCAACACACCACTAATTATCATCAAATTTGTACCCATTTAAGGCCTCAACAGCTTTAGCGACATCATCTGCATTCTCAAAGTTCACAAAATCAAAACACTTCGATTTTCCTTCTCCATCCCTCATCACTATTGCACTAGTAATTGGTCCATATTCTCCAAAAGTTTTCATCAAATCTTCATATGTAGTAAAGTCTGCCAAAATTTTAACATAAACATTATTGAATTTTGTCTTGCTCATTACACTGTCTCTTTCCTGCTTACGAAGGAAATGTCCAACATAAACTTGTTTATCATTAAGCGGCATGCCATTCAACTTATCTATGGCACTTTGAGCAGATTCTGCATTATCAAATTGTACAAAACCATAGCCTTTAGACTGGCCATTAGGATCTGTAGCAATCTTGCAGGAAAGAATGTTCCCAAAGCTTGAAAAATGTATCGTGCAAAGCTTTGTTGTCAATTGTTTTGTCCAAGCATAGAAGGTCAAAATATAGTAATTAACACCAATGAGCACCTGCACTTAACAATCTATTTCTTGCTTAGTTCTATTAGGCAATTGGAATTATCTATTATCTGTGCTATTATTGTCTATTTGTGATCTATTAAGATTGTGAATTGAGATGTAGGATTGTTAATTGAGATTGTAGGATTGTGAATTGGGATTTCTGTTGTCATTGTGGATTTTATGATTTCAATTTATTTGCTCTAGCAAAATGTCATCTTCTGAGACACCAAAATGAATCTACTCCAATCCCAACTAGTTTTACAACTTCACCAAACTCTTCCTCTGCACAAGCTGCAATTAGATGAAAAACTGATCATGCATGGGAACATTGTTGGGAATATGTTGTTCCTTCAAAAAAGGGGAGGAATTTGATTTTTTTGTATTACCAAAAGGTTATAAAGGGTGGTGGTATCAACAGATTCAAACAACATTTGGTGGGGATTATAGGAGCAGTAGAACTATGTACTAGATGCCCTATCAAAGTGAGCCTTAAGATTAAATTGCTCCTAGAACGTGTTGGTAACAAGAAAAAAAAAGACACAAGAAGATTACGAGGAATTAAAACAATATGGATCGGAGTTTAAATAATATGAAGAGCAGGAGGACATGTAAGAGAATGTTGATGTTCAAGAACTTCCATCCTCTTTTAAGGGAAAGGGCATTTCCATTGGTGGAAGTCGAGGTAAGTCAACACCTAAAATGGATGGAGGAAGAAAGGGTCAAATAATTGGCTCTTTCTTTGTGCCAAGGACTACTCCAGGTGCTCAACCTACTATTAAAAGTGTGTTACAAAGTAAGGAGGTAAAAGAGAGGTGTGATCTTATTGTTTCTAAATGGATGATTGATGCTTACATTCTCTTTAATGCTGTGAATTCCAAGTATTATCAACTTATGCTTGACGCAATAACATGCTATGGTGGTGGTTATAAATGCCCTAACTTTCATGACATTTGTGGTTATTTGTTAAACAAGAATGTCAAAGAAGTAAAAAATTTGTTCATAGTTTTAAAACCACATGGAAAGAGACTAGTTGTACTATCATGGTTGATGGGTGGACAGATCAATGTAGGAGAACTCTCATTAATTTCTTGGCCTATTGTCCTAGAGGAACAGTGTTTCTAAAGTCAATTGATGCTTCAAAGACAGCTGATATGTTATCTAAATTATTTAAAGAGGTGGTGTTACTTGTTGGTGTAGAAAATGTGGTGCACATAGTAACTGACAATGCTACAAATTATGTTGCTGCAGGGAGGTTATTGGAGTAAGAGTTTCCCACAATATCTTGGTCACCATGTGCAGCTCATTGCTTGAACTTGATGTTGCAGGACATTGGAAAGTTGGATAAGGTAAATGATGTTGTGGCTCATGCTTCAAAGATCACAAAATACATATACAATCGTTGTTTTCCTTTGCAGTTAATGAGGAAACATACCGGTGGAAGGGAAATATTGAGACCTGCTCCTACACGCTTTGCAACCAATTTTATTGCATTGCAAAGTATTTTGGCACAAAAGGATGCTTTATGAGCTATGGTTACATCAAGAGAATGGATTGGGTCAGCATATGCCAAGGAAAGTAAGGGAAAAAAATTTGTTGATAGTGTGTTGGATTCTAGGTTTTGGAAAGAATGTGTTATTATTGTCCAACTCATAGAGCCTCTTGTTCGAGTGCTACAAATTTTTAATAGTAATGATAGGCCTTCAATGGGCTATTTGTACATGGCAATGCATAGAGCTAGGGAGGAACTATTAAGAAGATTTCAAAAAAGGAAGAAAATAGTAGATGTTTACTTGAAAATCACTGATTCTCGCTGGGATAGACAGCTTCACAAAAATCTGCATGCCGCTGGTTATTGGTTGAATCCGAGTAACCAATATAACACTATTGAAATGAAAAGCACAGACAGACTATCTCAGGGCTCTTCGATGTGATTGAGAGTTATGCTTATGAAAATCCCAGTTTAAGAAGTAAGTTGACAAATGAGATGAAGCTGTTCAGAAATGCAGAGGGAGACTTTGGGCGGGTGACTACTATTAGTGATCGACATACGATACTTCCTGGTACTTAGAATCTTTTGAATTTTGACTAATTCAATTCAAGTAGTGTGTTTAGTTTATTTTAAACGTTTATAATTTGATTGTGATGCATCAAATCCAGATGAATGGTGGTTGTGTTATGGAAGTAGTGCACTAAATTTACAAAATTTAGCCATTCGCGTCTTAAGCCAAACATGTAGTTCTTCGGGTTGTGAACGGAATTTGAGTGCATTTGAACACATTAATTCAAAGAAAAGAAATAGGTTGGAGCATCCAAGGCTTAATGACCTGGTTTATGTTCATTACAACTTAAGATTACAACAAAGGTATGAAATCTATGTTAGCATCTTATTAAAAGATGAATGATTTTTATTATATTTCATTGATTTCATATTTCAAACTTTTTCATCAAGTAAATGATGATATACAGGATTTACTTGAGGGGGGTAGAAATCATGATCCTATTGACTTTAAAGATTTCACAAGTAATGCCTCATGGATTTTAGAGGATGAGCCTCCAAGTTTAACTATAGATGAAGTAGAAAGTTTTCGTGGTTAATTAGCTGCATACAATATCCAACCAAACCTCAACACTGGTATGTTTCATTCTTCTTGTATTGTCTTTATCACTAAAAGTATATATCTACAATCATTATTTGATACATCAATAAATAATTCCTTTTTTGGATATAATGTAGATGAAATTTTGAACTTTGAATTGGATGACGACGATGATGATCTTGAAAATGAAGAGGGTAATGGGAGTGGTGGTTTTGGAAATGCAACTACTATTGAAAATATTAATCGCGTTGGAGCTGAGAACCCCGAGTTTGGCATGGATTGGAGTTCATGGAGTAGGAGTACTCGTTGGGAAAATGAGAATGAATAGAGAATGTACTTTGTGTAACTTTTATCAAGTATTTGAGGAGTTGTCTTTTATTTTGCATGGCCATTGTGATATTGTGTTTGGGATTTGCAACTTATGTTTACTTATCATTTGGAGATGATGTGTTCTTATGTAAACTTTTAACTTCAGTAGGGATTTTGGTTTGGGGTTTGGACTTGGAATGATTTTTCTGTTATATACTTGGATTGGAGTTTTAAAGTTCAACTTTGATATTTGGCACATGTGTTTCTTTTACTTAACTTCATTAATTTGATGACAAATTGCATGCATTTTAGACATATTTTATATTTTTTAGCTAAATTATTATGTTATATATATTATATGCCCGGTCCGACTAGTGACCCACTAGTTGAACTAGTGAACTATTGACACAATCTCCTAACCGGTTCGGTTCTGATAACATTGAGTGTGAGTTATGATCTCGGTTAAGGGAATGCTATTGACGTGATGTCGGGTTAGGCAACAATCACGGGTTATTCTGCGGGTTGATACATGTTTCATTTTTAGTTGTTTTTTTTTCTTGTTTTAGTTTTGATTGGTTCTTTTTTTTTTCTTGTTTCATAAATGTATTTATGCATTAAAATTAATTGTCTTTTTCATTATTTTTTCTTATGATGATTTCTTTCATTAAAGAGGTGTATATAAAATGAGTTAATTTAACTATTAATGGGTTGTATGTAGTATGTGGTGGACTTAGTTACTAATAGGGTGGGTATAGAAAGGGTGGGGTTAGTAGTTTGATAATGAGAAATTAAATGGAATAGAAATGGAGATTTGTGGGATGAAAATAACACCACCCAATAAAAAATGGTTCATTAAACTTTACTAAAAACAAATAAAAGGAAAATAAAAAAAATCATATATATAAAATTATTTGTAATCAACTCCATGCATGTTTGTTCAAAAAAAAAAAAAAGTCTCTCTGCATGTAAGAATTAAACTACATTATTTTTTCTTTGAACAAAGACTATGTCATTTCGAGGTTTTCCCTAGGCATAGGTAATTAAAGTCGTTGTCTAGGGCCTACGAATAAATAATAATATTTAGAATTACTTAAAAAAAATTAGGGCCTCCAATTTAAATTAGGTTAGTCAAATTTAGGTAAGATGTACAAACCAAAATTTTAGGTACAAAATTAACAAGTTTGAGTTTAGCCTTAATAGATTCGAGTGATAAACAAATAGATTTGTTAGGCCCTTCTAATAAATAGGTAAACACGAATCCAGCTAAATATGACACAAATTTTTTAAACACGATCTATATAAGATACAAACTCGACTAAGAGTATCAATGGTATATTTATATATACTAACAATGCACTATGTGCGTTGCATGTAAAAGTTTTTGTTAAAATATTTGATAAAATATATAAAATTTAATTATATAGCTAAATTAGATATTATCTCATATTTATTATATTTAAATTGTTTGTAGTGTGGATGAAGAGAAATATATATATATATATATATATATATATATATATATATATATATATATATATATATATATATATCGATTTTTTGACATTCGAGATGATATTGTATCAATAAAATTATCGATGTTTATTAATATTAGGATTTTGGAAAATAAGAATAATATTTTTATATATCCTAGAGTAATACGACCATCTAAAAATTTTGTAAAAATAAAGACATTTACATGATATGCTAGAGGTTAGTTTGTTATTTAAAGATAGAGAAATATAATGATAATTTGCATATTTAAATACATAAATGACTTCTTAGCTTTTATAGTTTTTTATAAGGATAAAATAATAAATCAAAATTTTTTCATGTTAAGGTATTTTTATTAGTAGTATAGATATAGATATAGATATAAATTTTGAGTTAATTCTGATATGATACAAGACTACTTTTTTTTTATATTTGTTTTCTAAGTTTTACCTATTTTTATGTAAATATAAAAAAGATGAGTTCTCTCATCACACAATACGTTTGCTTTATTATTATTAAAATCAATTGAGTGATTAATTATGTATTACCTAATTTTAAAAAATTATAATGTTTTAGCTTAAATTCAAGGCTCTTTTTTTAATTTATGTCAGATTTTTTGTTCAATTATTTTTTTACACCATACAATGACCACTGATGGGCCAGACTCAAGGACTCAACTCATGTTATAAGTCTAGTCTGAATAAAGAATCTAACTAGACAATATCCAATGGGTCTAGCCCAAAAGAGGTCCACACCTAGTCAAGCTCATCAGGGTTTGAGGAGCTACATCACCAAGGGAGTAGGCAGGTCATCTCAAGAGCCTCATTTAAGCCACATTGGAGTAAGGGTCATCTAAGAGCCTCATCTACGCCGCTTGTAAGAAGTCAACCACCATGTCATTCTTGACCGAAACTTATGGGGAGCGCCGTAACTACCCCATCCGTTGAGAATATGATGCCAACTCCACTAAATTAGCTTTTTAGTTACTGATAAGCCACCTCAATCTGTTAGGAAGCAACTATAAATTGTAAGCACCGCTAATATTTAGGGGGCATCATACTCAATCGAGCACATCTACTACCACTCTCTCTCTCTCTCTCTCTCTCTCATAGCTTGTATCTCCCTGCGCTCCCTACACTCCTCGAAGTAATAAAATATCAAGTCATCTTAGCCTTTTACAGTAGACGTAGGTCACGTTGACCGAACTACTCTGTATCCTTATCTAACTTGAGCTACTATCTCTCTACTTAATTACGACATTAATTACCAGTCACTTGACAGGTGGTGTGCAAAACCAATTTGTACATCATCAGTTTGGCACCGTCTATGGAAACGACAAAGTTTTCAATCAACCATCCTCTTTTGTATCTATGGCGATCACCACCAAATCCATGAATCAGCCCAAAGACAATCCACCATGAGAGGAGGAGGTTGCCCCTCCACTAACCAATCCTGTTCCAAATACACAACAGATGCTAGAAACAATGCAACAACTTGTGAATCAAAATTAGCAGATCCTATAACTGATGTTCGCTAGACAACAAGGAGGAGCACAACCTGGAGGGCATCAAGTCAGAGGATCTCTATGCCCTGGGCATCAAGGAGCTCCCCACTTAGACATCCCCTTAAGAGCCCCCTTGGATGCTTCATATAGGGGAGCCCTCGTCAGAACCATGAGGTAGTTCTACCTCCTCTTCCAGCTCCCTCTTTCCATGGTGGAGACCCTCATTTTCAAGAGGATGAGGACAAAAATCAAAGTGTGGAGCATGGGAGCCATTTCCATAAAAATTTCAAAGGAGTCCCAAATCATTGGGATGAAAAAAATCAAAGAATTACAGAATCAACTGGACAACGTCTTCAATGCCATGAAGGCACAAGAACTAGAAACTGTGGAGTACCTCGTAAAGTGAACTGACACACTTTTTGTGCTAGATGTGGAAAACTACCCTCTTCCCCTAAAGTTTAAGATGCCATCCATCGAAACCTTTAACGGCACAAAAGACCCACTTGATCACGTTGAAACTTACAAGTCGTTGTTGCAGCTACACAATATTTCTGACAAAAACATGTGCAGGGCTTTCCCGACTACCTTGAAGGGATTTATCCGATAGTGGTTCGCCATACTCATCCTAGCCTCTATAGGCTCCTTTGCCGAACTAAGTAGATCCTTTGTGGCACAGTTCATTGGTGGACACCGCTAGCAGAAGCTTGCCACCCATCTCCTCAGCGTAAAATAGGATTAAGACGAGATTCTGAGGAGTTACCTCACTCGTTTTAACGAGGAGATCTTCCAAATCGAGGAGCCTAATGACAAAGTTACCATGACCGCCTTTCTGAGAGGCCTTCGTTCATCAAGTTTTCTCTTTTTAATAATGAAGCGACCACCAAAGACCATGCTAGAACTATTAGCAAAAGCTAAAAAATATATGAATGTTGAGGAAATCAACAGCTCTAGGCGAGGTGAATCATCTTGAGGGTCGCCAAAAGCGTGACCTATCTCTACTCTGCTCTTAAGAAAGTAGCCTATGTTTCCAGCTTAATAGCTCTCTTGCGGGTCGCTTAAAGCTTGACCTATCTCTACTTTGCTCTCAAGCATGCAACCTATGTCTCTAGCTTAGCGGCTATCTCGCAGGTCATCAAAAACTTGACCTATCTCTACTCTGCTCTCAAGAAGGCAACCTATGTCTATTGTTTAACAGCTTTCTCGCGAGTCGCCAAAAGCTTGGCTTGTTTCTACCCTGCTCTCAAGCAGACAACTTATGTCTCCAGCTTAGCGGCTCTCTCGCGAGTCGCCAAAAGCTTGGCCTATCTCTGCTCTACTCTCAAACAGGCATAGACCTCCAGCTTATCGACTCTCTTATGGTCTCCAAATTTTGATCTCAAGAGTCGCAATTCTCTCACGAGTAACCTCAAACTCTGTCTTTGCTCTCACTCAAGCAATCTTTATTTCTCTATAGACCGATGTGTCCGCCCCTCTCTCTTGGTAATCATGTTGAATATTTTGATGTTGGAGTAATATTGTTTTTTTTTTGTCTCTAGGCACACTCTTGAAACTTAGGTCAACTATAAACCGGGGGACTACATTAGATTGAATGTCAATATTTGGGCCTTATCCTTTTTGTGGCCATCCGGCACTACTCCCTCATTGCCGCAGCACTCTCGTGCTTAACACCTAGTGCACACAAGCCCTACCTGCGCTCCCAACACTAAGGATCTGGCTCCTGCTCCTAGGTATTAGCTCCCCTGCTCTAATGCACATGGCGCCCTTCCAGATGACGCCTCTCTAGACGGAGCCTCACCCAATGACGCCACGCCCAATGACGCCTCGACCTCGACGCCCATTGCTAGGGTCGCCTCTCCTCCAAGCCCCTGCCACCTAACTGGGTAGGTGGAACCCTATGACCTAACGGGGCAAGTTGATCCACGAAATTCAGTCGAAGTGCAACATGGACATAGCTGGATTCGTCTCAGATTGCTAGAAAGTCCTTGTTGGGTTGAAAAATGATTGTCTTGACATTGACCTTGATTTTGTAGTCAAGAGGAATCTTCACCAGCCAGGATTCAGGTTCAACTAAATACCCTCTTCTCCAAATTTCATTAGACACAGGGCATTGGGGGGTAAATGATGGCCAGACTCATGGGCCCAACTCATTTTGTAAGTCCAGTTTTAATAAAGAATCTAGCTAGACAAGATCCAATAGGTCCACACCCAGTCAAGCTCATCAGGGTTCGAGGAGCTACATCACCAAGGGAGTAGGCAAGGTTATCTCAAGAGCTTCATCCAAGTCACCTTAGAGTAAATGTCATCCCAAGAGCCTCATCCAAGTCACCTTGAAGTGAGGGTCATCTAAAAGCCTCATCCATGCCGCCTTGGAAGAAGTCAACTACCACGTCATCCTTTGATCGGATCTTATAAGGAGCGCCTTAACTACCTCATCTATTGAGAAGGTGGTGCTAACTCCATCAAATTAGCCTTTTAGTTACTTATAAGCCACCTCAATCTGTTAGGAGGTGCGTATAAATTATAAACCTTGGCAATATTTGAAGGGCATCACACTCAATCGAGCATATTTGCTATCACTCTCATCTCTCTCTCATAGCTTGTATTTCCATGCTCTCTCTACACTCCTCAAAGTAATAAAATATCAGGTCATCTTAACCCTTTATAGTGGACGTAGGTCACGTTGACCAAACAACTCTACATCCTTGTCTCATTTGAGTTACTATCTCTCTACTTAATTACTGCATTAATTATCAGTCACTTGACAGGTAGTGTACAAAACTAATTTATACATCATCAAGCACAATTTATACGCAAAATTTGAAAGCAAAAACTGAATTAAATCTTTTATTTTTTAAAAATAATAAAAATAATTTTAAATAAGTAATTTTAATACTTTTATATTTATTTAGTTCCATTTTATTACACTATATTTGCACCTTATAAGATTAATAAGGAGGCCTAATGTGACTTTCCCATCCAATATTTTTGTCTAGGTCCACATTGCATCGATCCATCCAATAAAATTAGATAGTGACACTTGGGGAAGGCAATAAAGATAACAAGGATGAACTAGAATGTCATCCCGGCCTTGTTGATCAATTGAACTTCAATCAGAGGAAACTAAATTGCAGAAAAAAAAATTCCCACTTAAGCATCACGTTTTTTTTTTGGTGATTTGGAAGTCGGTATAATTTTTTAGACTTATTTGATCAAAAATACCACATAAAATCCTATTTGGACTAAAGTGCATATTTCTAAAAAATGACAATATTGTCATTTAGTAAATAGTTGATGGGTTGAAACCCTTTGTATTCCTTCTATATATTTTGGATATAATCAAGAAATGAGAGGTAAAATAGGGACATATTTTCTCTAATAGTTTCTCTCTCTCTATTTTCTCTTTCTCTATTTATATTAATTTTACAACAACACAATTACGCTAATCAGTTACATCAATCAGTTACAATTGTCTTATAATATACCAAACAGTTATTATTCATGTGTTCTAATAAACTAAATAGTTACATAAAACAATTACACAAAATTATGACACCAACTAATTTGTCATTCAATTGTTTACATAAACTAAATAGTTGCACCATTTAGTATCGCGACATCGTTATACCATCATGCCTTAACAATTGCATGAGACTGTGATTGTTACACCCATTAAAAAACAGTTGCTCCCATTAAAAAAATAGTTACACCTATTAAAAAAATAGTTACACCCATTAAAAAAATAAAGAAGTTCTGTTTTTCCTATATCCCAACAATGAATAATACATAATATCTAACAAAACTTCTTAGCCAATTCTCTTTTTTTCTTTTGAAAAATTCTGTGTTTATTCACGTATAATTTGTGGCATTCTAATCAAATCTCATTACCATAGAACCCTGTTGCCAAAGAAGAAGGATTTTGATCATTAATTCTCCTATTTTACCTCTTATTATTATTGTTAATCTTTACATATTTATTTCCTCAAATAACTGTTAATGATGACTGCATAATTTGAGGGATGATGTTTAGGTAAAACGTTTTTAATTCATTTGAATTTTTTACATAAACACAAAAGTTTTATAAAAATTGTACTTAATAGAGTAAACAACTTATCTATATACTTTTGCTCAAATAAGTCTAAAAAATTGTACTCACATCCAAAAAATCCTTTTTTTTTGGTTCAACAGTTAATAGTGTCTAGATCAGTTTATGCGCCTCTCGAATAATCCCTCCATGGTCCGGCCATAGGGAGGTCACTAGGATTAGAGAATTTATGAAAGATAAAATTTTCATGATCTGATTTTATGAAATTGTCAAGATTTGAACTCATGATCAAATTTGAGAAGGGTCATTGTTTTTGATGTCCTATGTTTGTTGTACTTTTGGATTTGGCTACGGTATCGCCAAAAAAATTTTGGTACCATACCTCCAAAATTTATTACTTCAAATGGTGTTAAAATTTGTAAATTATTTTACAATTGAAAAATTTATAACATTTGTTATTAATTTATCTTTTTTTGTGAGTATTTTTACGAATATTATGAATATTTTTATAATTGTTGTTGTAACTATTTTTATCATTTTTCTTTAGTACAAAAAATTATCACTTTTGTGTCTTTTTACCATTGTTATGAGTGTTTTTACTATTGTTATGCTAATTATTTTTTATCACTTTTTTAGGTATTACAATAGTGATAAAAACACTAAATTTCGATATGTTACCAAAATTTTATTTTTCGGTACCATAGTCAAGTTATGTACATTTGCAATGTAGTCCCTTTTTTTTTTAATTTTAATTTAACTGTCAAGAGTGTCCGGACTAGTTTACATGCACCTCAACTAATCTCATTCTCCGTTTGGTTAAAGACAAATCATTTATTCCGGAAATAGAATATTCACAAGAGATTAATTTTTCATGATCTGATTCTAAAAATTTATTAAAAATTATATTTAAGACATTTAAAATTACAAATCATTTGTGTTACAACTTCAACTACCCTTGTAAGGGTAGTCCCAACCCCAACCAATATTGTGTATAATGTGATAATAACTCAATAAAGTGAAGCAGGATAGGACACTTAATTCATCTTAGTTATGATCCAAGGCAAAACATACCGTTGTCATCGTATGAACATGTGGCATGACACTAACGAGTCTAAATGAAGAAAGCCATTGAGACCAAGTCCCAAGAACTCTACAAATGACGCAATGTTTACACACACAAACCAATCAAGATCAACAAGAATCAAGGTCAACCTAAAGTGAAAGATCAAGTAAGAAACCTGACAGTTGCCCCAAAGCACTATCAGGAGTGTTCCCTCTCCAAGTTTGCAACGTTTAATGAAATGTTGAATATTTTATGAATTGCGATTATTAGTTAACAACATACACCAACCAAGAGAGTTAACCATGAGCCCCTCTTCCTAAAAGGAACTATGACCTTCAACAGTAATCCTAACTTTGTGATACCCCAAAAAAAATCGGGGGTTCTTTTGTCAACCGTTAACCACCCGACAACTCACGAAAATACTTGTGATTGTCGCATAACCCGACATCACATCTATTACATCCCCTTAACCAGGATTATAACCCACATGATTAACTTGTGTATGTTTTACCATTTGGCCTGATCGAGATCCAATATACTACAATTTATACTCATTTGATGTCCATTTATATCCCACAGGACACCCTTGAACAAGAGGAAAGATTGCCCAAGAACTGAGGGAAAGAATTCAAAAATTTGAAGTTTTGTGAGAACCTTCCGTAGGTTTTCATAAAAATTCAGAAAGATCAAGCATACTGAAATCCTATCTTTAAGAAAGATGTGTCAACCTTCCAGAAGATGTGTTCAAACTTCCGGAAGAAGTTACACACTGGATTCCCTCATTTTAGAAAAATGTGAAGACCTTCCGGAAGGTTGGAATCGACCTTTCGGGAGGTTTCACCCACTGTTCAACAATTTTTCCTTGTCTTTGTCCAAACCTTCCGGAAGGTTTTGCCCAAAATTATTTGTTTCACCTATTTTTCATTTTCAATTCATTCCAAACTTCTCACAAATATGTAAAATATAGTTTTCCACATAAGACTTGATACATACTAGTTCTATTACAATGATTTCATATATTTATATGCTAAAATCATGTTTTTCTCAAAAATTTTACAAAATTCACAGTCAAAAGCCACAAATCGACCTTTTCTTCATCTTGGAGGTCTCGAATGAGAGCCCCCCGCCGGTACAAACCCCGCACTTGAAATGTGTTTCTATATAGGGTGAACCACGCTTAGTAGAGTATTTCCTACCGAAGCTATTCCCTAACCTAAGTGCGTATGAATGTTTATGCAACACTTTACTACCAACAACATCTCAACCATAATATATTATTCAATGTTGAAATCTTTGTATATTATGTCATGAAATGAGATAAGACTCACTCATGCAACTCAACCTGAGCCCTCCCCGACTCCTTTTTCCCCATGTATGTCATGAGTATAGAAATCGGCTTTTCAAGTCCCGCCATTGGCGTTGCACACCTAATGACTAATTTAAAATTCTCTGGGTCTTTCTTTGGGGTGGGTATTTATGGGCTTACACCAATAGCACCCAACCGACACGGAATTTATGGACTTCCACCAACGGTTTTGCATACACCAACACACTTTATGGGCTCTTATGCCAATGGAGTGCGTATTCGATCACCGTGTCTCTTACTTGAGGGATAGTCTAACCCTTCTTGCTACCCCGACCCAATTCATTATCCATAACACCATGCAACTGAGTCGAAAATTCGATTCAACTATCTCGAGCCCACTATCATTCACCTATTTGGTGTTTGCTGT